GTTCTGGTTCAGAATGTGGAGTAAGTGAGTTTACTAAAGAGGAAGTCGAAGCTCTACTCAATGGGAAGTTGCAAATTAAAAACAAGTTTAATTACAAGGTATGTTGGTGTGCTTTGCCTTTCCATTGTGACATTAATCTCTACGAACTCAATGCCATAGTAATTTGGTCAAGTGAAAATGAGTTTTAAGCTTTTGATTTTCAACTGTGATTAATGGGATTCCTCCTCTTTTCATTGCAGGAAAAAAGCGAACAAATGGCTGAGTGCATAAAAAAGCTTAAGCAATGTATCAAGTGGTTCCAACAACTCGAAGGCAATTACGTTACTGAACAAGGGAAACTAAAGGACTTGTTGGGAGTAGCAGAAAAGAGGTCCAATGATATGGGTAAGATTGGTTCTTGTGTTGCTTCTGACTTCTGTTCATTTTTTTTTTCTTAACATGTTTGGGTTACAAACTATTTGTTAATTTGTTAATTCTTATAGAGTTGTTGATGAAAGCTAAAGAGGGTGAGTTGAATTCCATTATTATGGATTTGCGGCAAAAATTGGAGGATCTGCAAGAGAAATTTGTAGGGGAAGAACGAGAGAAATTGGTGTGTTGTTCATCATACAATAAATTTTGAATCATGGTTTCTTTAGCTGGCTATACTTAGTTGTGTGAAGAACTTAACTGTCTTATGTAGGATGCATTAGATTCTTTGGCGAAGGAGAAAGATAACAGACTTGCTGCTGAGAAATTGCAAGCCTCTATTTCAGAAGAATTAAAACGAGTTCAAGAAGACAATGCTGCTGGTATTCAGAAGGTATTGTAGAGCATTCATATATCATTTATCCAACTTTGCATGGACTTCTGCTAATGGCCGATATTAAGTTGCGCATTTGGATTTTGTTTCTTTATGCAGATACAGACGCTTAATGATATGTATAAGAGATTGCAGGAGTATAACACAAGCTTACAGCAATATAATAGTAGACTGCAGTCCGAACTTCAGGCAACAAATGAGACATTAAAGCGTGTCGAGAAGGAGAAGGCAGCAGTAGTGGAGAACTTGAGTACACTGAGGGGCCACTATACATCTTTGCAAGAGCAGCTTACATCCTCAAGAGTAAGTTTTGGTTTCTTTTGACCATTTCTTAGCTTATTTCATACCCTGGTTTTTGTCATGTTTTATCGTGCTTAAATATGTGCATGTTGGGTCAACTAGGTTCAGTGAGTGGGTTGACTAGTAATAATTCCTGTTTTTAAGTTTATAGTGAATATCTTGAACTTATTCCAGATTTAATACTTGAACACGGTAGTCAAGGTGACCTCAGTCAATAATTATGCTTTTCCAATGATTGACATCATGACAAGCTTGTTATTTACTGGGTTGAAGCATTGTTCTGGCATGGTTGGTTAAACTAATACATTGTTTGACGTGCTTGTCGGTGCTGTTTTGCATTATTTTTTCCTGGATAATTGTTTGACATATTTGACATTTTTATTGAAGACATACCATGGCTGTTGATTTTGATTGTTTCCTATCCATCATACTTTTTCTCATACTAATAAGTATGCTTTTCTGTCTTAAAGGCATCGCAAGATGAGGCTATGAAACAAAAGGAAGCACTGGGTAGCGAAGTTACGAGCTTGAGAGGTGATCTGCAGCAAGTACGGGATGATCGTGATCGGCAGTTGCTACAAGTCCAGGCCCTATCGGCTGAAGTTGTAAAATACAAAGAATGTACTGGAAAATCCATTGCCGAGTTAGACAGCCTATCAACTAAAACAACTGAACTAGAGGTAATTTCTGAAATCAGTACCTAACAAGCAATCATGAATGAATTTAGAGTTTGTAATAAAATTATTTTTTTTTTCGCCAGTCGACATGTTTGTCTCAAAGCGAACAGATAAGAAGGCTACAAGAGCAACTTGCTTTTGCAGAAAAGAGATTGAAGGTCTTCTGTTTTGATTTTCTGGTTTTGTTGATTTCCGTACTAACAGATATGACACTATAGATTTGGTACTGACGGGCAAGTATCTGCTTCTTCCATTAGCTATCTGATATATCGGCAATGGAAACCAGATCTGAATTTGAGGAACAGAAGACAACCATTCTGGAGTTACAAAATTGTCTGGCTGATGCAGAGTTAAAGATTGCAGAAGGGGAGAAACTACGCAAGAAATTGCACAACACAATCCTGGTATTGGTTCTGCATGCAAATTTTTTCTTACATTAAATAATTTTTGACAATATATTGTAAACTAAAATGTGGCAATATCCTGCATTGTATTCTCCTGTCGAGCATGATTTCTTGTTGATGTGCAGGAGTTGAAAGGGAACATCCGCGTGTTTTGTAGAGTGAGGCCCCTTTTGTCCGATGATGGGGTTGGAAATGATGCTAAAGTTGTCTCATTTCCGACATCAACAGAAACACTGGGCCGAGGCATAGATTTGACACATAATGGTGAGCATACTTTTTGAAAGAGTCAGAAAATTGATGTGCTCCTTAGATATTAGTAATGTACTGGTTTTCCTACTAATTGATAATATCTTATCAGGTCAAAAGTTTCCTTTCACATTCGATAAAGTGTTCATGCCCGATGCCTCTCAGGAAGATGTTTTTGTGGAGATCTCACAGCTTGTTCAGAGCGCACTTGATGGATATAAGGTCATAATCCTACAGAACTCTTGTTGACTTTCATTCATTCATTCTCTATAATCGACCTTTGGTAGTTAGAACTAAATAAGTGGCAGGCTGACGGCACATGTTAATGCAGAACAAGTAACTTCATCGAACCATTTCCGGCTGATCAACATCAACATTCTGCTTTGAGATATTCGCCTATTGCAAGCAATTCATATCTGCATTCTTGCTGATTAGTATAATAATCTAAAGCCATTGCTAAATGTATGATTACATGATATGAAGGGGGTTACATTTTTCATTTTTTGGTTCCTTTTTAATTTGATTTCTAATTTTCAATTGGGGTCAAGTTTGATAAAAATTGGGTTTCAGAAAAGTGAGCTTTGAAACTGTATCAGTTTTTGCCATGCTTTGACTGCATAAAATTGATAACATGTGCTTATTGGCAATTTATATTAATTATATTTACGTATTTTCGTGTCAGGTATGCATATTTGCTTATGGGCAAACAGGTTCAGGCAAGACCCACACTATGATGGGTAAGCCAGGACTACCTGATCAGAAAGGTCTCATTCCAAGATCACTAGAGCAGGTATTCGAGACGAGGCAAATTCTTCAAGCCCAAGGATGGAAGTACGACATGCAGGTATAAAGAGGAGGACTTCTCTTGTGTACCAAGTTAATTTTGGCTTCTGTTATTCACCGTTACTGGGTTTTTCCAGGTTTCAATGCTTGAGATATACAATGAAACAATTCGTGACCTACTGGCACCAAATAGAACAGGCTTGGATGCATCAAGAGCAGAAAATGCTGGAAAGCAATATGCTATCAAACATGATGCCAATGGAAACACTCACATTTCTGATCTAACTGTTGTGGATGTTCGAAGTAGCAAGGAGGTTTCTTACCTCTTGGAAAGAGCAGCACAAAGCAGGTAGTTGAAGTTACATGAATTTGTCATCCCCTGAAGCAGAATTACTGTTGCAACACTCACTTATGCCTTCGCAACTTTTGCTCTTATTTCCTATCTTGAATAATTTGGTTGGAATTAGTGTGGAAGTCTGATTGAAAAGTTCGGAATTCACTGATCCACGATATACTGATGTCTTATTTCTATGAAACTTTAGGTCGGTAGGCAAGACCCAAATGAACGAACAGTCTTCAAGGAGTCATTTTGTCTTCACGTTGCGAATAATGGGTTTTAACGAGGTAGGCTTACCTTGTGGTTGCTTAACTCAAACTTTTTTCTTTTAGTTAAAGTTTCCAACTTATAAGTATTGTATTCATTTGTGGTGTTATTAGAGCACTGACCAACAAGTGCAAGGTGTTCTTAACCTGATCGACCTTGCTGGTAGTGAGCGTTTATCCAAAAGCGGGTCTACTGGGGATCGACTGAGAGAAACTCAGGTACAAGATGAATCGTCTCTAAATTTGTTGAAAAGAACTTGTTTTTGCTTGAAAAATGTGTTAATGTATTTTATAAGATTTATATATATATATATATAATTTTTTTTTCATTTCCTTGCTTGCTGATCTGTGTGTGCGTTTTTTTATTACCTAGGCCATCAATAAGAGTTTATCATCATTAAGTGACGTCATATTTGCGTTGGCCAAGAAGGAGGAGCATGTGCCTTACAGGAACTCCAAGCTAACCTATCTTCTCCAGGTACATGTTTCAACTGTCGTAAATGCTTGGACCTCAAAGTATTTTGTGTGTTACTAATACCTAATTATTACGAGTTACTGAGGAAGCTGAACTTTTTCTCTTCTTCTCCTCCTGAATTTGGTCAGTGAAGTTACAGAGTTTCTCTCGTTGACCTTTTTAGCTCTTTTGTCTCAATATGCCTCTACTCAGACAGTGGCTTTTAGTTGTTATCCCTTTGCCTCGGTCAGGGCACTAAAAAGGTCAAATACTGAATGAACTCAACTCGTTTATGTCTTCTGTCCTCTCCCAGCCTTGCTTAGGTGGAGACTCAAAGACCTTGATGTTCGTCAATGTTTCTCCGGATCCTTCGTCAGTGGGTGAATCACTTTGTTCACTTCGGTTTGCAGCTCGTGTGAATGCCTGTGAAATTGGGGTCCCAAGACGCCAAACGAACCTAAGATCGTCATCCTCATCAGACTCTCGCCTGAGCATTGGTTGATTTTTATTCTATTCTTTTTGAATGGAACAATAATTATCTAGATTTGGCCAAGTGTGTGTCGAATGTATCTTGTTGCATTCATTTGTAGCCAGCCCGGTTACATAATATTGGCTTGTATTGGTTAGTAGTTCCATCTCTTGTAACATGCATAGATATTGGGGTGTAGTGAGATGTGTTATTATCATCACTCTTCAAATTTACTACAAGTCTTTGTGAAGATTGTACTTATTTGTTTGTTCCTATATATCCACATTTTTCAAAATGAATTCAGCAGTTAGTTTTGTGAAAATGTAGAGTTGTGTTGAGAAGATATATATCATCATTAAACTAAATAAGTTGCATAAGATAAAAACAATGTTAGGTTTATTTTCTTGTATTAATAAAATAATATTTTGACAAATGCTTAATATGTTTTTAACTAAATATCATCATTAACTAAATAAGTTGCATAAGATAAAAACAATGCTAGGTTCATTTCATTGTATTAATAAAATAATCTTTTGACAAATGCTTAATATGTTTTTTGTTTTGTTTTACTGGTTTGTGTTCATTTTTTTTAAAAAAAATGAGTCCTATTCACAAAATAAATCATAACCTTTAATTTAATTTAAGCAATCTAATGCATGCATTTTATTTTATTAAAGCATGAAAAAAAATATAGCATGAAATAGCTTGAGTGGTGGAGTACTATTTTGTGTATGTTTATGTAGTTGTGGCCGTATGGGTGATGTAGGATTTTAGTATACTTTTGTTATGTTTATGTATGATATTTTGTACTTATTTATTATAAACTCTATCTAATCAAATGTGATTTGCGGTGTTTCATTGATTGTGATACGGTTGCAAAGAAATAATTATTTGAATCTTATAAAAAGTATGGCATCGTTTTTTTTATCCTTATTTCGTTGGTGGTTGATTATTGACAAGAGTATCGATTTATAGCAATGTATCATTATTTACGAGAGTATGGTTAATTGAATTATGTACAAACATAATATTACATAATAAAGAAGGATATATTTGTCCATATAATTTTATTTCTATCTCTTTACTTTTTAAATCAAACAAGTTTTATCATTTTTCTTCCCCTCTCGTCATATAAATTTCTACGAACAAGATAAAATAATTTTACGTCACTTTCCCTCTCATCACCTCCCCTCCATTAAAACCCCTCGTCTCCCCTTCCCTCGGTTCACCATTTCCCTCCGTTGAACCAAAGAAACCTGAAATGATTTTACAAGAGTTATCCCCAATGACACAATGTCTATTTGAGATGTATGGTATGAGAAAGGAAGTAAAAATATTGTCTCCAATGGTTGTGTCAATTGTAGAATAATTTAACACGTGTTATATAATAATTGGTTGGTGGTGAGATAAATATAAAATAAATAATATAATATAGAGTATAAAATTTTCTTAAGAAAAAAAATATTGAGTAGAAGATGTAAGAGCATCTCTAATAGTACATTATCCATTTGGAGGTGTATAACATGGAGAAAGAAAATTACAAAATTTTGTCATGGTTAATGTCAACTTTAGCATAATTTAACATGTGTAGGATTATAAACTTATAATTGATTGGAGATGAGATATATATTTAATAAATAATATAATATATAATAGAGGATGTCCAGAATTATTTCTATGTCTAGAAAAACTTCTAGACATTTTGGATGCAACATGAGATTTTAGAGCATCTAAAATGCGGGTTTAGTCTTGCTTATGTGATATGTAAATAAACCAAAATCTTGGATAACATGGATAATACTATATAATATTAACAATATTCAGATAGTCTACAATGCGGGTCTAGTCTTGTCAATGCAAAGAGATTTAGGTCTCTACTTGGGTATAAAATAGAGTAGACTGAATCTTTTTTTTATGGCTATCACATCAGCAGGATATAGTCTAGTTTCGCATCGGAAATATATTATCTTAGACCGAGCCTATTTTGTAAGTTGGCATTAGACATGGGCACGGGCCAAACCGGCCCGTTGCCCGACCCGCGAACCGGTACCGGCCCGGCCGTAACCGGCCTCTTAAGGGCCGGTTCATTGAACCGGGACCCGTAGGGCTACCGTTCGGTCCCGGTTCCTTTTTTTTTATTTTGGTCCCGTAGGGCTACAGTTCAGTCCCGATTCCTTTTTTT